TTTCATTTTATTTCCTTTTGCTCTTAAGTTAGACATAACTATCTGACCCAATTGAATCTTTGAGAATATATATATATATATATATATATTTACCATTTAAAATTAAATACAAAGCAATCTAACTTAATCCAAAAATAGATTTTTATATAATTTTATTTCTTTTTTTATTATTTTAAGTTAAAAATGAACACAAAATAATGTGACCTAATATTTGAGAATAATGTTGTTGTTGTTGTTTTTTTACTATTTTAAATGTAACAAAACAATCTTTCATTCCAATCTTTGAGAATAAATAATAAATATTTTAGTCATTTCTTTTTACGGTTTTAAATTAAAAGCTCAATAATCCGACCTAATCCAATCTTTGAGAATTAAAATTTGTTTTAACATTTTTGTTTTAACATTGATTTTATTATTATTATATTATTTCATGAGAGGGTAATTGCAGACCAGAGATTTTATACTGTAAAATGTTGGCAACAGCAAAGGCAGACATTTAATAAATGTTACATTTATTAAAATTACCCTTGTTTTTTTTTTTGTCTAACTGTGGGCTGTTTATGGTTAAATAAAAAAAAATAAAAAATAAAAAATTAACAGCCTACTTAATGTAGAAACCATTTATTGTCATCAATCACAGCCGTGGCAAACGTTTATCAACCTATGACAATGACCTAATGAATTCTTTCATTATCCCCATTCAGCTTCCTGCGGGCTCCTCTGGATCAGCGACCGGTTCTACCTCATCCTCCACGTCTTCAGTCCGGCAGACCCGGCAGCGCATCACCCGGGTAAACCTCAGGGACTTGATCTTCTGCATGGAGCAGGAGCGAACCACAGCCAGGTCCATGCTGCTCTACAAGGCCCTTCTGAAGTAGCCCTGATCCAGTGAGATGGATGAGATCATCCATGAATGGTACTCCACCTGCTTGACTCTCAGTAATACGTTCAAGTCTTCCTCTCCTTCTCCACATTCATCTCCGGTTTGTGCCTTCAGACTCACCTGTGGCATGAACTCTTTGATCAGTACGAGCGTGTTGCTGTGAAACTACTAAACGTGGCCGTTCTGGAGATGAGAAGGTTCTGGAAAAGCACGTAAGCCGGCGGCTGTGGACACCATGTGATTATCCCCTTTGGGTGACCCTTTTATGGTTTTATTTCCTCTTTGTTTTGGATTAATGAGCCATCATTTTGAGCAATGTTGATCTTTTTATTCATTAACTTGAACTCAGACTGGTTTTACGTTTCAGGATAGAGATTGAGATTTGTTTTATATAAATAGCGGCTGGACTTGTTTTTAACCGAAAGCCTCGTTTGCAATAGAGACACTGGAAATGTGAATGCAAATTTTTAGAGGTCTAACGAGTCTGGAGTATTTTTAGTAACTTATAAGTAGCTCATCTTTAAGTCTCTGAGGAAACGTGTGGATGTTTTGGGGGGTTTTTTTGTTACAGATTTATGCAAAATGAAGAAACTCTGTGTTGTAAAACACTGACTGTCTTTCATCCTATTGGATGGTCTTTTGAAATTCAGTGACAGTTTTGTCTCGCACACTCAGTGTGGGGTTAAATGTGTGTACGGTTTCACTAGTGTCTGTGTTAAGTATACTGTGAAATGGTGCCTTACGTGGCCCTCCTAGGGCACCATTGTTTTTTAATCAAATTCACGGCATGGAATTATCTAATATGCTAATACTAATATGCATCGCTTCAACAACGATTCTAGAGCAGGATCTCTCGTAACTTATTTGTGGAGAAATGGCAGGTTGTACGTATTGTTAATTTGACCATTTTTTTTAAATACGTTCAAAATAGGGTGGTTTTCACAGACTGCAGTACTGATTTTAAAATACTAATGTTGCATTTTGGATCCTGTACTTTTGTGTATGAAATTCAATTTCACAATAAATTTAGTATCTGTCATCGGGCATTATTTTATGTCTCAAATAGCAAATATTTGTTAACTGCCCTTTATGACATGCAGTAGGAGAGGAAATGACATTGTTTGACATGTACCTTTTGGCGTTGTACAGATGTATGTTGGGACACGGTCAACGTTCATGTCATGTGCAATGATTCCTTTGAGATCTGAGGCGAAATCTTTTTCCATCACTCAGATTGGTTTTAATTCGTATTGTTTGTGCTGACGTTTGGACAAACAGTATTGTTGATCAAGGGATTGTCTTTTGTCTAAAAAACATATCTATTAGAATTTCTATTTTTGCTAAATTTAACAATTTTTGAATGTTTGGTTGGTTTGGAAAAAAGTGCTCATCTCTATTAAATTTGTACTTTTGTAAAAGAATAAAGTTCCTAATTATACTTCTGGCATGACTTTCTTCGATGTTTGTTTTACATGAATGAATGTCAAAGTCAACATGGAATCAAAATGAATACACTTTCTTGATAATTGTTGATCACAATGCATCAACTTTATTTGGCTGACCTCTCTTAGGCCACACAGGCTGTTGGTTAACATTAATCATAATATGTCCTTACATCCTAACATTTTGCCAATATGTTAGGATGTAAGGACCCAACAAGTAAAGGATCAAGGATCAAAAGAGACCATTTTTGGTGTCTTTAACTACTATGTACTAACATTTAAATTAATCATTTGATATAATGCACTTATGTTTTTACAGTCTATGATAAATAAATGTTTTTACACTGTACCAGAATGTAATTATATCTGTAATTACACTGTTGATCCTCCTCTCACCCCTTAATCCATTGTTTCCCAAACCTGTTTCTGGACACATTTTGGATATCGGTCGCCTCTGACTCGTCCGTTTCAGGTGTTGAGTCTCTAATGAGCTGATGAGTTGAATTAGGTGTTTGATAAGGAAGAGTTTGAAAAAGTTTACTGTTATGAACGGGGTTGGGAACCTGTGGGAACCATAAACCTAACCATACCACAACCTGTCCATCACCTTACCCGTATCCCACCTCAATAGCAGCAAAAGTGTTTTGCAAAACAACATGAACACAATAAGTGCACATTGTGCCTAAGATTTTTTTTTTTTTATGCAAGTACATGACCGAGACCTAATAGTTTTTTCTTTTCACCGTTGACTGCAAACTCATTCAGGTGAGGCTCTATTCTTGTTTTTACCACCCACCTTCCATGATTCAGTCAATTTCTGATCAAAAACATTAAGTCCCGCCCTATTTTTTTATTTTATCGTTTTCTTCAGAAATACTTCAAGTAAAATGTTGTTGCATGTTAAAGATCCATTTTCTAATTGATATTATTGATCTTTTGAATGATTATTTTTTTTTAATTTGTTTTGACCTTGTAGTTTTTAATCAAAATGCCATGACTCGATCTTTCAGTGAAACGACAGACTTCTCTCTGATGACGTATGCAGGACTTCAATAATTTCGTCCACTGAAACCCTCCACAACTGACTGCAAGCTCGCATTCAGATCTGCCTCCATCCAGTCAACAAACGATGGATTGTACCAAGTAACGTACCAAAATAAAGTGTGTCGCTAATTCTGTCTAGTCTTGATCTATTTACAATATATTTACTTCAAATGCTCACTGTCATTTGTATCAAAAGTTCATCCAACACATTCACATACATGCTGTCAGTGGTTTAAAATAGGGAAGGAATCCCAACAATTTATTAAAAGTTGATTTATCAACACCAATTACAAAAAGAATATGACAATTCAAATAAACACATGCCTGACATACCACTATGATTCATATCAATAATAATCCATTACAAAAAATTTGTATTTAAATAATATACATTTGGACCATACTGCAATATACATCTCGACACAACATCCATTAGAGCAGTATTTAAATTAAGATTTCCGTAATGTCCGACACGGCTTCTCTGACCCTCGTTGCACTGGAGACAAGATAGTCTTTCTTTTTTTTTTTTTAAACAAAATGGCAGTTGCACAGCGGCGAGATGGTAAGTTGCATTCAGGGGGACCTGCGAAGCGTCCGTGAGCCTTTGTACAATGTGCGACGAATCGAAGAAATTTGAACACAGCATAAAAGAAACAATGGCCAGTTAAGACAACAAATAGCATAATATATCCGTGACATTTCAGTGACCCTTCCTTTTGAAATGGTGAGGCGGAGGTCTTATTAAATGTGCCTTTTTACAACACATTATGCAATTCAGTCTGTTTACCAGCCTCTAAGTTAACCTTTTAAGTTTATTCTCTCCAAGTGGCTCTGATTGCACTGTTTTGCTAAAGGAGAGCGATCAAAAGGGATTGTGGGAAAGTGACCTTAACTCCCGGAGACTGGAGAGAAGTCTGACCCGACCCTTGAGGGACACTGTTATCCCCCTCTTCTCTGACTGGTCCAAGCAGCTCCCCCTGAAAGTGCTGACTATTCGTATCTTTCAAAAGGTGCCTTCATCAAACGAGATGTTGTTTTAGACGCGAAGGGAATTGTATCTACAAAGAGATATTTGCTTTTTAACCGTTTACTCAAAGCAATCGTGATGTATAATGAATTTTTCGAAGCTGCTAGATGGTACGTTCAAGGGCTAGTTTTGAAGAAAACAGGCACCCGAAAGAAAGTCGAGGATTTAGCGATGCCATCAGACAAGCGAGTCCAGGTTTCCCTTCAGACGTGCTAGAACAAAAAGCCTCTGCCCAGCGCTGAATGCATTACCAGACCGTCCGCTTTAGCCTCAAGTCAAAGCGTCTACACGGCCAACTCCAGACCGCACTTACAACCAAATGACTTCTGAGAACTGCTCTCATATCCTTCATGTAGCGAGACAACAGCAATAAACCTGTAGGTCATAAAAGAACTGATTTACATAGATGAGACTGGAAAATGAGAACATTAGATATCAAGATTAAAAATGGATCAGAGGACAGACTTTTGTATTTTGTGGTTAATTTGGCCCGGGAGCTTGGAGATCTGACTGGTGCTGCATCATTTAAAAAGTCTTCTAGCCGGAAGGTGTGTTCGCCACAAACGCAACTTCCTTGTAGAGTTCTTCTCAGACTTTACGAGCCAAATAAAGAGTTAAAAAGTTCAACTCGAGGTCAGCTGAAAAGCCACCCTGTGGCTCGCGTGGGTTTGTAAAGCATCTTTTGGAGGAGTTTTGGGGTCGTTGATGAAATTACTCGAACATTTACGAAGATTTCAGTCCTCTTGGAGTCCGAAGAGTCGAAGCAGACTCTTCTTGCAAATAAAGCCTTCTATTTGTCCGCTGGCGTTTTTTGGGGGGGGTTTTTTGTGAAAGCAGACTGAGGTGTTCGTGGTTGGTGCAAGAGCTGGCTAGTCCATAGGCTCCTGTTTTATCCGGATGGGCGTGTGGCTTGTCTGACACCGTCTGTCCTCCCGACTCAGGATATACTCGCTGAACTGGGAGGAGTCCACGCCCCCGCCGCATGACGCCACCATGCTGAAGCCTTTCTGGAACAGTCTCTCCAGGACCTAGGAGAAACCAGGGACATATTTAAATATATTGATATTTCAGTACAATATGAGAACCTCAGTACTTCATATAGTTGAATCGAGACACCAACAGTCTCACCAGGATCTAGAAGAAACCAGGGATTGAACACTCAGTATTCTTAGTAAAGATTTTCGTACAATATGAGAAACTCTGTACAAGTTTTGAAAGTAAACTCCATTTATGTTAGTTTATCAGCACTTATATTTGCATCAAAGACAAGCACCATGCTAACATTTTCTGGAACTGTCGTTCTAGGATCCAGGAGAAACCAGTTTGTTCAATTTGAGACACTATGGGTTTTGGACTCTTAAAACAACTGCATAAATCTGGAACCGTCTAAGAACGTTTTTTTAGTATTTTGAGATGAAGTTTTATATAAATGAAGTGAACTCCTATTTATGCTACTCGTATCAGCACTTCATTTAAATGCATCAAGACAGCACCAGATTAAACCCCTTTGTCTCTACAGGACCTGGAAGAAACCAGGGACAATTATCCGTATTCTGAGATGATGCTTTTTCATACAATATTAGTTTTCAAAGTAAACTCTATCAGCGCTCTATAGTTGCATCAAGACAAACGCCATGTTAAAACTTTCTGGAACAGTCTCTCCAGGACCTAGCAGAAACCAGGGACATTTTTAGGATCTTGAGAAGTTCTTTGTTCAATTTGAGAAACTCACTAAGGGTTTTTGGAGTAAGCAGATTATAATACTCTACATAATTGCATCAAGATGGCAACCCTTTTTGGAACAGTCCAGGACCTAAGAGAAACCAGGGAAGTCTTAGTATTTTGAGATGAAGTTTTCCATAAAATAAGCTGCTTTTTAAGCACTTCACCTAACTGCATCAAGATGGCACCAGATTGAACCATTTTTGCAACAGTCTCTCTAGGACCCAAGAGAAACCAGGGGAATTTTGTGTCTGTTATTCAGAGTTCAAGTTCTCTATAATGAGAACTTTTTTTCAAAGTAAACTCCTATTTATGCCACTCTATCAGCACTTCACATAGTTGCATCAAGACGCATTTAAAATGTGCAATCTCAGTAACAGCGCTATCAACAACTTCACGCTTGCATTAACCCTCAGACGTTTCTCTCTCCAGACCATCCACCCGGGATGAGAAGGAGCGAGCAGACATCCCCTGGGCTGTTTACAGGGGTTTGATGCCGAGTCAAATGAGAATAGGCTCCCCCACTGACAGCCCACACTGTAGCCGCCCGACTCTTTCATTCCAAACCCAATGCACACAATCTCAGCCACTGTCAGAGATCCCTCACCGAGAGACGTCTCAGGGCGGCCGCTGTCGCTGTCATTCCCACCACCGCAAAAAGCCAACCAAATGTTTTATCTGTTGGAGTGCTTGTAGATTTTTTTGAAATTCAATACATGCAGCCTTGAGTATTCACTTACTCCTGCACTTCTTTCAAGTGTGCTTCACATGAAAATGAAAGTTCTGGCTCGGGGCTACAGAGCCAGATAAAAGTCCCTCCGAAAAAAAAAAAAAAAAAAGATGATGAAGACGAAGGAATCAGCTGAACTGCACAGGGCCTGAGAAAAAATGTCCATCCTTATCCTCACTTTGGAAGTTGAGGCTGCGGAGAAACTTGTAGAGGAAATGAACACTTCTTTTGACTTACGCACAGATGAGGAATGAAAGACATCAGCAGATGATACAAGGGCCTACCGTGCACAAAGAAAGATTGCGTTTTTGCAGCATCTTTTCAAGAACATATATCGCCATTAAGATCCATGTTAGGTTTTGGTTGCATCAGTGTTACAGAAGCGAGTTTTAATACCGTACACAAATCGTTTGGCTTTGAAGTTCGTTCTTTTTGTGTGATTTTAAACCTTTTGGCCACTTGTAGAAGATTAAAGGGATAGTTCACCTAAAAAAATGTTCATTGTATCATCATTAGAAATTTTGTTTTTTACAACATTATTTTTTGTTTTGGACCCCATTGACTTTCATTGAATGGACAAAAACCATTTCCATTCCACCACAGGAAAAAAAGGGTGAATTATAGGTGAACTATACCCTTAATTGAAATTTAATCCATTCTTTTAATAAAAAACATCCATATCTAGAGCTGTTCGTGAATACAGAATGAACATATATAAAGAGTGTCACAAGCCTCTCAAATATTCACGCATTGATATCTGAAGGCTTATGATTTTGACATTACACTCACTGCGCTGATGGTTGCATCACTTACTAACTTTCTTACAGTAAAGGCTACAATTTCTTGGCAACAAACTCTCTCTCTTACTCTGTCTTTTTCCATATCTCTCGTCCTCTGTCATTCCTCTCTGATCTACTCATATTTCATAGGTGGGTTTTTGTGAACACCCGAGATGTGACAAAGACGGGCTTTAAAAAAAATCCACCCGCACGATTCAGTCGGTTAAGTGCAACTCTTTTTTTTTTTTTTTGCAGAAAAAATACATGTTATCAGAAACACTAATTAGTTATACAGTAAGTCAATTAGGCGTGTGTAAAAAAGTAGCGTAAACCAGTTTAGGTTGTTCAAAGAAACCAAAGTACAGTATTAAAAATGTAGCATGTGTGTTTAAATCGCTTCAGGCACAGAAATGTTGGAGCACTTTTTCAAACGGAGAGATTTGTCTTAAGGACGAGTTCAAAATAAATTATGCATATCATTTCCCTCTCTTCTCCTCTCGGTTTCATAACTACATATTCCCCACATTAGCATCGCCTCCAGGATTCAGACGCATGTATGTGGATGTATCTGTGTGTCTGTTTTAGCACCTTTTAAACAGCCAAATGGTGGGGCATGACTGCACCTTTGCTGCTGTGGAGACACACCTGCCTTCTACATCTCACACCTTCTCACATCTCTTCATGTTGGCAGGAAGCAGTCAAGCACAGCGCGCCCAATATCCCAGCAATCCAACAAAACTTTTTCCAAGTCAAAACTTTAAAGTTCACCAAATCCTTTATAATAGTTATATTTCATTTAAATGTAATTATTGATTTTATTTTAGGGCTTTTTGAGCATTTTGAAGAGTCTGGAAGATGTGGGATCTGTTGCCGTGGCTCGTTTTGTCTGGACTACACGTCAAATTCGATTCAAACTAAATGCAAATGGGTAAAACTCAAGAAAAAACAAGTCTAGTTCACAAATTACCCCCGAAAAAAATATTAAATATAACTTTTGACATCATTTTCATGACATTTTTCCTCCAAAATTTCATTAACATTTTACTTTTACACTTTTTTGCTTTTATTTTTACTCAGCAAGGACTGCAATGCGTATAATGTTACAAAAGATTTTTATTTCAAATAAATGCTATTCAAAGAATGTATCATGGTTTCCACAAAAATATTAAGCAGCTCAGTTGTCTTCAACACTGATAATAAGAAAAAATGTGTCTTGAGCAGCAAATCAGCATATTAGAATGATTTCTGAAGGATCATGTGACACTGAAGACTGGAGTAATGATGCTGAAAATACAGCTTTGCATCACACCAATAAATGACACTTTAAAATATTATGTACTAGAAGGCAGTTCTTTTAAATTGTAATCATATTTCACTATATTACTGTTTTTACAGATTTTTCAAAAACATAAAAATATCAAATACACGGTATTATTAATGACAGTGCTGTACCTGTACAGAATTGAGCCTGCAGTAGCCATTCAGTGGAAAGCGAATAACATGGGTTGGATCCTGGTTCCAGCCGGCGTTGACTGAATTGCACATGACATCCCCGGTCTCTGGGAAAATCTCTTCTATGAGGGCCTTGTCCCCACTGATGGCAATCCTCTCGCCCAGGTCAGGGGTCACCCGCACCACCAGGCACTCGCAGGGCTGAGCCGTCCGCCGCTGCTCCCGGTCCTGTTTCCAGCGCTCCAGCTCTTTCACCATGGGCGTCAGCTGGTAGAACCGAGCCTCCTCGTACAGCAGCTGGAACTCCTGCAGGGACAACACATGGAAGTGAATGTATGCACAGAAGGATGAACGAACAAACAACCCATCCAGCAAAAGATTGAATGAGCAGAAAACAGACCAACCATTGAATGAATGAATGACTAAGCAGACAAACACATTAATGAATAAGCAAACAAACAAATCAATGTGAAAAAATAACAAACAAAAAAGTCCTACTCTGTCACGATCAAATATCATTTCAGATGTAAATTTTACATAAGTAATTGGTATGATGTTGTGAAAGACATGATGGACTAAAAGAAATAATGTACTTTTTTTTTTTTACAATGCAAACTCTTACATACATAAAAGGAAAAACAAAAGAAGAAATTCAAACCCATATAATGATTGAGTACTGTGTGTTTCAAAGCACATGTCGTTTAGCATTTAGCATGAACCCAGACCAACACATGGAGCAGTTTTGCCCATCTGACCCGTCTCTAGCCGGGACCAGGGCGAGGGGGGTGGGGGGAAAGCCCCTCCGGCTCTCCCCTCACACACAGATTCTCCGGTCGGACAGCACAGATTGCTGCCTCTGCCTGAGGGCTCCTTCACCCTCGAGCACATTTACCCCACTTACACTCGCCTTTCACTCACCACTAAACCAGATGGCAACGCGCCTCAGTCCAGCCATTACAAACACCACAGAAATGAAAGTATTTCCAATATAAACATGGTGGTATGCATGGCAGGAAAATGAATAATAAACCAAAGTTAGTGGTGTTACCGCTTGTGTAACAAACACTGATTTTACGCAGCAATTCAAGTCTGTCTTGTCTCTATTTTTATATATTTACCAATACTACGGGTATAATTTGGAGAAAAACTTTAAATATTAGCATCTAAATATTAACCCTCATGTTCTGTTGATGTAGACCACGTTTCTAAAGGTGAAAAATGATATATATTATATCATAATAATAATATATTATAATGATATTATTTAAGACAATATATATTGTTTAAAGCCCAATGTTTAATAATAGTATATTATGTGGTTTTACTAACGCATACACTTTTCAGAAAAGAAAATACCTGTAGACTTTGGGTTCAATAGGTATATTTCACATAATTTGAAACATTTCTCAAAAATGTTCAAATTATGTGAAATATACCTATAGACCCCAAAAAGTGAAGTAAAATGATTCATGCAGCATGTTTGATGGATGTTATCGAGTTACTTTTTTGCCAGTTCTCATTAGATTAAGAAAAGTCATGACGCATTAACCTGATAGTCAATGTTAATGTTTTTTGAGATTTTAAAAGGGCCTTGGGGTCTCTCAGACCCCAAACACGAGGGCTAAAAGGCAGTTCTGCTTGAAACGCTGATAGCATTCTTCGCTTGTGTGCCTGGTGGCCTATTTCCTCAGTGGCCGTGAGAGATAGCTGTGATCTCGACCCTGCTGGCTCTTCATCCCCACCCTGTAAGACTACTCATTCCACTGCAGGCTACGCCACGCACAACAATAGCACACACCATCTCAGACACAACGCTCTTTTACAATTACCACAAGAAAAGGAGTTGTTTTCTTACCCACACCCCTCCCTCGCCCTCTCTTCTTTCTCTCCCTCTTTATTCCCTATGTTCCTTTCTTTAGCCCATACTGGTGCTGACAACATGGATACAGAGACTTTAGGCCTTCGGGCTCTTGCTAATTCAAAGAAAAACAAGCTCCGCTTCTTTCCCAGGTCTGCAGTGAAGGCTGGGTATGTTTTAACAGGGCTCTTTCTGTGACTCACTTTTAGGAAAGAGAATGTAAAAGCAACGGCCCACAGTAGAGTGAATTTAGTCTTTAGGCCATATCCATATAGACAAATGAAGCTGGATGCGCTACACGGTTTTCAAGAGCAAACTCTTCTAGAAGAACAAAAACGTTGGCAATTAAGTCAATAAGTCGAGTCTTATGAATACGCAAATGTAACAGACATCTGGGAGGAAACCAGACGTATCCCATCACCTCTCACCGACCGGCGAGGTGCTGCTATGGAAGGTTCTCGTAGGTTTTTGGATGAAAAAGACTGTTTAATAGGTTTGTAGGTTTCTAGGCCTTACAGACAGACCCAACAATGGCTGAACAGCGATTAGGTCGTGTAGTCATTGAGTTTTCCCGCTCTCACGGGTCAGGGCATGGTGAGTTTTGATGGGAGAAGTGTGAAAAGTTAAGCATAATGGGATGTAATGATGTGCCTCTCAGAGCAGTTACATATTTTATGTGTTGTTATCAAACGGTCTAACACAGTGGAGGAAAGCTAGCCACGGAGCCTGAGGTGGGAATGACTAGTCTCACCCTAATTAATCCCATTGACACAAATACCTTTACCCATCTGATTTTTGACTGAGGCAGGAATAATACTTCACCGACTTATCTGCCGTCATTGAAGAAAAGACTTACAGCTATGTGTGTTTGAAGTCAGAAATTGTATTTCACACTATTTTGAGGTTTCATATTATTCATTCTTTTTTTGTTGTTGCTATAAATGTATTCAGTATTTTATTTTATTATAAATGTCCTTAGTATTTTTTGTTGTTGCTATAAATGTACGCGGTATTTTATTTTATTTTGCTATAAATGTAGCCTACTTGTTAAGGCCCTTTCACACCGGACGCGTAACGAAAATGCGAAACGGAAAAGCGAATAGTTCGCGTGCGAATAGTTTGCGTCAAAACCATTCACATCAGCCGCGACGCGAATTTGCGACGTTCAGAGCTTCAACATTCCAAAACTTTCGCGCCGACAGCTGAGAAAACACGCACACTTCATCATCATCATCATCATCCAGTGAAGACGATCTTTTCGTTTTCTTTAAAAGACAGAAAAGAAGGTTTTGTGTGCACCCAATCTTAAAGAACAGAGAGTCTGAAGGGTTAATCTTGTAAAGTAGCTAAAACTTTGCCACAAAGAACCGTCCAAAGTAAGGATTATGCATTAAACATTTGAATTGTTTATTAATAAACTAGTGTTTTCTGTCAGTTTTCGGTATGAGACGCGCTCCAGTTCACGCGCCGGCGCCTCCGTGTCCTAATTATATTGTCTACTATATTTGCTTCTTATTCCTATTAATCCAGGCAATTTGTTGATGAAACATTGATTAAAATTAAGATACAATTTATACAAAACGAAATTCACTTTAAAGAAAGGCTTTCTACAAAACAAAACTTAATAAGTGGCCAAAATTATGTCTGACCCATTCCAAATGTTTTCGATATATTGGGCATCTTATGATCCTTATACTCATCTCATGCGGTACCGTTTTCATATAGCTATCAATTCAACATAGATGAAATTAAAAAAATAGCATTATATTATTTAAACGTATATATGAAACGTATGTTTGAGTTTTTTTAACTTATAGGCCTATTTAAGCGTCACCCCGCTCCGCTTTATTTACGCACATGCTCTGGTGTGTGGCCTACATGCATGCAAAAATAATATGAAACACACAATCATGAATGTTGAAAATATTCTAAATCAATTATTTCCCTCCTAGTCAAAAATATTATAAATCATCAGCAAGCACTTCATTAACTCGCCGGAGACACCAACTATCCCAGCTATTTTATCCCATGCCTCGTTCTTTTGCTGGTAAGAAACACCGTCATGTCATAAATGATAGGGTATGCGTGCGTTGAGATGCGGAATAGGCAATATAAAAATGCTGTTATTATAAAAGGTTTCTAGTTTCAATGTATTGCTTGTTTTTAGTTTACATTTCATGTTGTGACACTTCTCTTCTCTCCCACATAATGCTGCTACGTCAGAGCGGCCAAAGTGTCAACATGCTTCACCTTTGTTTCCTTGTATGTGATTGGCTGAAGCCTTTTCTGTCGCCGAAAAAGTTCAAAAAAATCGACATCGAAGCGAAAAAAAATAAAAGTCGTTTTTTCGCCACAGCACATTCGCGTTTGGTGTGGAAGCACTCATTACACAAACAGCTGATCAAAAAATAAAACTATCGCGCGAATTATTCGTGCGTCAAAATCGCGTACGGTGTGAAATGGCCTTTATTTTTCATGTCAGTACTGGTAGTAAATGGACAGTATATGGACATATTGCAAAGGAATTGCCAACAAAAATGTTAAGGGCTGCATCTGAAATCGCATACTTCCCTACTTCGCTTTCCACTAAACAGTATGTGACAAAAGAAGTGTCCGAATTCACAGTACTCATTAAAGAGTAGGCAAAAAGTACCCGGATGGCCTACTACTTGAGGCCAGATTCTCAAGTCTGCATTCGATGGACACTTTACTATCCCATGAGGCCACGGGAGAGGATTTATGAATGACAGTTAAGCGACGTAACTGACGCTGGTAGGTCACATGATAACGACAACATGGCGAATGTAGTGCGTCCGGATTATATTCATACTACACACATTCATACTATATAGAACGTACTTTTTTAGCAGTCGAGAAGTAATTACTTATATAAAGTAAGTACCAACTCAAGAGAGTATGTCATTTCGGACGCAGCCAAGGTGTTTCTGAGGAACAATGTCATACAATTGCTCAAATTTGTGATGCCTTATCTCAAGATGATCTGAGGCAATTTTAGTGAAGACTGGAGGAACTTTGTAGGATGAAAAATAAACGTTACAAAAGCAGGTTTTCGTAGCGATGCCATAGGAGAACCATTTTTGGTTTCCTAAAGAACCCTTCAGTGAACAATGGAAAAAAGAACCATTTTTTCTTGTGTAAAGAACCTTTTTCCACTATAAAGAACCTTATGTGCAATGGAAAGGTTTCACGGATGTTAAAGGTTCTTCATGGAACCACCGATCCCAGTAAACAACCACCCACCCATCTTGGAAAATGTTATTCATAGTATTCAGGAATTTTAGAGATATGAAGAGATAAGGTTGAATTATTCCAAACCCATGGTGTATTGAAACCATCATTTCTCTGTGGTTCTGTCTGGCCTTTGCTTTTCACCTCGAGGCTATTCACGTGATGCTAAGAGAGGAACTAAATGAAAGGTGACACTTTATTTTAAGGTGACATGGTTACACATTACTACATGTACTTACTATAGTAATAACAGTAAATTAGCCTAACCGTAACTCTATAGTCAGTACATGTAGTTAATTAATATTACTCAGTACTTATTTGAGTAAGTGTACAATATAACTACGTCACCTTAAAATAAAGTAGTCAAATGAAAGTTTTGACCTGCTGGAGAGACATTCGGTGTGTGTTCCTTACCCTGAAGTCATCAGGAAGAAGCAGTTTGCCGGTTCTCAGGTAGCTCAGGATGAAGCGGAATATCTCTCCGTCTCTGTCGATAAAATAATGCTGCTTCAGACTGTCCAAAACAATCGGTTCTGTGCCGTTGAACAGGCGGCTGATTCTGGGGGGAGAAAATGAAACTCAATGATACTTTAACTTCAAAAAGTGTTATACTATACGACATAAAGAATGATGATGAAAGAAAAGACATTCTCTAACAAAAACGCTCCTTTTTCTTCACATTTACATTTGAAATAAGTTTAAGGGTGAACATACAAGTTGATTATTTGAACCTGATTTAATTGCCGGAATGGGGTCAAGCATTGGGAATTACGCTGTACGCTATTTCTGTTCTTTGGATAAATCGACTTTATCTTTGCAAAATGTTATTATTTCATTCTCTCATCCCATTTCATTCTTCCGTTCTTTCTTTCTTTCTCTCTCTCTCTCATTCTGGAAACCGATGCAAAACACTTAATAAGAAAACCAATTCCCCCTTTTGTGCCTCGGGTGGTCCTTTTCTCATATGGTCTTGCCGTTCCCCCAGTTAGAATTTCACCATATAGCTTTAGGCAATCTTAGTTTTTCATCTCAGACTCTTTCTTTTTTTTTCTCCAAAAAGCAATTAAAATGCTGCCTGCTTTTCACCCTCCCCCCCCATTTTCCTCTCCTCCCTCCTTCTCGTTGCTCTCTCGCTCCATATCCATTAATAAATCAGAGCGAGCCACGCTCTCTGTTAACCTGAACAGATGTGGCAAAGCTCTCACACTCTCTTCCCATCTTGCACACACACATCTCTAACAGGTGGCGTCCCTTTACCTCCCTTTATCCGCAAACCTCCGTAGATTACAGTTGGGATGGCATGTAGGAATTGCATGACTCTACAAGTGGTAGTAGTAAAATCATATCTTTTAAACACACAAATTAGCTTTAAGTCATTTAAAAGTACAGCAACTAAATACACCTTTGGTTTATCGCTCTATATACATTGCTAAATTACATGTAACGTAATTTTGCACTTATATGGAGGCAGAAAGGAAGTTGGACCACAGAATAACAACATAAATGCTCTGTAAACATGACATAGTTTTACGTCAACATCAGTCCCATCCGTTCCAATAAAGTCAGGGTCAAATCACGACAGGTTGTCTTACCTGGAGTCTGGGTATTTGGTGAGGGTGGCCAGACTGCTGGTGTACATGTGCCCGCCTACGTCAATGTGGACTGGAGCGTTTGCTTTAGTCAGCTGAGCCGGCAGTGGGATTCCCTGAGAGGCCAGAGGAGACACTGGGGACCGGGTCAAAGACAGCCGAGACATGCTCCTTCCCTCCTGTACAAACAGCACAGTATCAAACCAACAGCTCCTGGTTCCCCTCTCCCCTTCAATCTCCGAGATCTAAGGTGCGATTCTGGCCTGCAAGTATGCAGGAGAGCACTTTTACAGCTTCCCTTAAATTGCGTTTTTACCTTAAGAATTAGCACCACAAGTCTAATTAAGAAAATTTGCCTGCCGTTTTTTCCGCCTCCTTTTTCATAGAACCGGAGGGGAGAAATGGAGTGATGCTTATTAGCGAGCACGAAAGGGAGAGAGGGAGAGAAGGAGAGAGAGAGAGAGAGGGATGGATCCTAGTACTGTAGGTGTCTACCTCCGGGGAAAGAGAGGGAAAAAGTGTAAACTCCTAATTAAAGATATTGGGCAAATGTGTGAGACTCAAAACACCTCATCACCAACAGCTTTCCAGTTCTTTAAAAGTTTCTCAGAGCAAAAAAAAATCAACATTTTGAATTGAAACCAAAAATGAGGCTAAATAAGACTCAAATTTCCACAAGGTCAAACATAAAAATCGAAATGATGCTGCATCATAATAAAGATTCAGTTGGTGCTAAAGGTCTCCTCTAACAGCTCTTTACATTAAAATCATAGGGACCATGAAGCATGACTGCTATTGTGGCATGAATCCACCTATGTTTGGTGTAACAAACAATTCCGCCAAAACAGATGGTTAAAGTCCCATTTCCAGAGGCATTATGCCTCGAGCAATGTGTGCACATGGTTTAACATCGGGGTCTTATATACTTCTATATAGGACGATGTATCCTATGTAGCCATTAGACATTAAAATATGAAATGTCAAAAATGAATTGGGTCCATGTTTTAGCTAACTTTCAAATAGTTTATAATATTTTTAAAAGACAAACTACTTAATATGAGGAGTATTCAAATATATATGGATTTATGGCCTGGGAAGCACTGGCAGGAGAACTGCCCCACTTTTTGATATTAAAAAATCAGCCATTGAATCGAGTGAATATACAGAGCCATGGCTAAAGACATTATAGGGCTATATTACATTCTTCTGAAATGAATTTAAGATTAAAATACAGAGTACCGTGACATAATGACAAGAAACCATATTTTTAATAAAAAAACATCCGAAAAACAAACGGGGCCATTGTCCCATAACAAACAAATGACTCTTATGAGCCGGTTCTTTTAATGAATCACTCAATAAGACTCATAACTTAGAATCAGTCTGTCGAATTCCATACTGAATGAACAGTGAATCCGTCAGAGCGGTTTGAATCAACATTTCACTCAGTTACTGAACTACAAATTATAATTAAATTGTGTACTCAGTATGTGTATGTGTGTGTGTGTGTGTGTATATATATATATATATATATATATATATATATATATAGCTAACGATGATAAGAGATATCCTCAAAGTCAGAAATAATAGTTTGTGATGTTAAAACTGCGCCAGGTCCCTGGAGTGCGTAAAATAGCCCTACAACTCTCTGTACCGCACTTCCTGTACGCAGTGGGCATACAGTGCTCTGACCTCTCATTGTACACTCAAATCAGCCCTCCCTGATCTAAAACCGCAAAAGCACGACACACCGAAAACGAATGCAAAAGAAGCACTGGAGAAAAAAAAAATCGAGAATTTGACAGAATCCACCGTACCGTTTCAAACATTTTAGGATGTCCGACGCAATCTGAGGAAGGATTCTAGCAGACTGTCTCTGATGAAGGTTGCTTGTCCTTTAGAAAGAACTTTTCGTAATATTTTTTTTCGGCACTCCAAGAGCTCTTCGGTGACAATTCCGTTCTGAATCCAGCGAAATCTAACGCGGCGCTATATAGGTCGCTGTGGCTTTAAAAACTCGTTTAAAACACAGACCACAGTCTCTGCTAAATGACACTTTCCACAAAAGCTACACAGGGGAGTCAGTCAAGGCTGCGTCCTTACCTTGGAAGACATAGCTGTAAATGTATCTTCAGCCCTCTTTAAAACATGAGATCGATCGTGGCGTGTCTTAGCCTCGCTTTTTTTTTTTCTTGCTCCTTTTTTGTTGAAGCGTGAGAGAGCGTTGAAGGCACAGCGTTCCAGCCCGAATAACAGAGGACAGCTGAACAAGAATTCTTGCTCAAGGCTCTCCAAACGCCCCGGGGCAGGATTAGGCTACAATTAGCTCAACCCTGCCTGAGCTGGGGCGAGTTACAAGAACAACATTTGATCTTGCTATTCACATTTGGAAGACTGCGTATATGTGTTTTAATCGCATTTATCGTCATTTATTCGTCTGCTTGAACAAAGATATGTGCATGCGCGAGGATAACGGTTTACTAGGTTACCTGTGTGCATGGCTTTGGCTTCATCTAGCAAAAGAGAAACAATCTTTTGTTTGAACCTATTTAAATATATACAGTATTACAATTTATGAATAATATTTTTTTTTCTACTGTCATCTTTTTTATTTCTATTCCAGCTATTCGTGCGGGCTTAGAAGAATGTCTTAATTTGGTTTTAAAATGTTTCTCTCAGCGTCCTAATAATATTCTGCTGGCCATGAAAACTAAATGACGTATATCGATATGCATTGTGCCTCTGCAAAAGGCGCCCACACAAAACCGCCTCGAGCCAAACGCGCCATTTCAATTTTTGCGCGCGGCTAGATAGAGATGTCTCTGCCTCGATGGCATACAGCTTTCAGGTGGAAGACAGGCTCATTGTGCTGGAAAGAAAAAGATTTTACAAAAATGATATTTGACAGTTTTAGCCCTTTTGTTACAGTGTTCTACTTCTCTTGAAAATGTGCTGTACCTTGACATCTGGCGCCAACCAGTGACCAAACTGAACGCCAATTAAAAACGTTAAAAAAATTCCACAACGTTCAAGAAAACGGCAACTAAATCAGTACTTAATTAATAAACTAAAACAAAACGTTTTAGAAATTGTCTGAAAAATATTTAACGATTAGGATGTCGCGTAGGCTACAGTGTAACGTCAGATGTCAATATGTTTACGACAAAAACAAAACATGCCAAAGTTTAAGAAAGCTTTGTCTTAAAATAATTTTTGGGAGCAAAGAAAGTGACAAATAAAATGTTGAAAACTCATACGGAATTTAACCATGGGTTTACTAGGCTATTGTAGGCCTCTGCCATCATTGCAGTTAAACCATGATAACCGCAAATTAACCATGGTTTTGCTTCACTAACCATAGAACCATATGGTAGGCTATTTGTAGCAAAACTGTGGTTATACAAATGGTATCAATCCGCCAAAAAAACATGGTTAGTTAGTTTTACTATAATAAAACCATGGTTAATTTGCGTAAGGAGTAGCATGACCTAAAAACGCTTTTAAAAACGTGCTGGGAATTCAAATAATTTACAGTAGGCTACTAACGGAGGCAAACGAGACCAAATTATGAATTAAGATTTCCATAAATAAATAATTACAAATAAAATAGGCCTAATTTATTTCAGTTCAGTTTTTAGTTTTGCAAAAGGGAAACGTGATAGAGCTCTTCTTGTCACAAATTTGAATTTAAAAAAATCTTTTCCAATTACCTTCAATAATCTTTTGGCACAGAGCTAATGTTATCACCTTCGACATAATAGCCCACATTCTCGAGTGAAAACACAGCAAAGCAAATCTGTTTGTATACAGGAATATGTTGCAAACTATTTGGACTTAACAGCCGAATTCTTTCTCGCCTTTGGCTGAAATTAGTTTCCCACATCAGACGAGCAGCAGGAAGACAAGATATTTTTGTTCAATTAAAGGAACAAGCCCGGAGTTAGTTCAATTACTTGACGCTGGAGGAAGATGTAAATTTAAAGATTTAAATAGCTTAGAATGTTGCCTCGAGCGCCTGCACTTCATTTCCTTAATTTACAGAGAGATGAGGGGAGTAATGGTTATCCTAATCATGTGCATCACGCCAACAAACTATATATCTGAGTTACATTACTATATCCCTGGTCTTACAGTTGAGCTTGAGACACACACAAAAACAGCCTGAAGAAAGAAAAACAAAAGCGCCCTGTATCAATATAGCATCTAAAGCTAAATCTAAAACTTTCTCGCAGTTCCCATGAACTAATTTAGCCTCAATGATCCGTACATTAATATTAACGTTCTTAATTTATAACCACTAATAGTATTTAAATTATAGAGTTACATTTAAATGATATTATTTAAATTATGTATCCGCTTATTTTTTATGTATATGTATTTCTAATATGATCAGTTATTTGGAGACAACATTTTGCCAAGCGAGACAATTGTAATAACCTGTGCAACATCCATAAATGCATATTTTCTCTTCTTGCAAGTCGTTTTCAGATGATGTCTGACTGTGTCCCTCATTGAACCACAGCGCCATCTGCGGGACATGACAGAATAACATCATTTCAACATCTCACCTTCTCACCTGAAAACAACTTTCAACATTTTTTGATGCTGTTGCATTTTGTCTACTTCTTTTGGTAATTAGATTTTCCATAGTCTTTTTGTAATAACTTAATTTCTAAAAGTTAGTTCAGAGCTTATTTGGTTGCCTCCAGGTCCTTCCATTCCAAAACCCAATCATACAGAGAGACTAATTTTTCTCTTTTCAACCCCCCACACCCTCCTTTTTAAATATGATTTTGGTGCTGAAGAAAGAAAAATGAAGCTTTTCTTTGTTCTGTCTTCCACGTGACAAATGGTAGCTGATTTGATGTGCCCTTTGAGTCTGTAGATTGTGAGAGAACAGGATGTCAAAGCCCCAGGCCCTGGGAGATAAGGAGGGGGTAACGAGGGGGTGGAGCTAAAAAAGCCGCAGTTGCTCCAGGCGGCAGAGGACTTATTGGAGTGGGAGGACAAGATGTAAAGATCAACACCAGTTTAGACTGCTAGCTGCTTTTGTTTCCAGTGCTGGGGTAAAGTAGCAGAACATATATAAGGCTTCTTATAAAAATATTAATGTCTCATCTATCTAGCAATTGCTAAACTGAAGCTCAGGATGCAGGGTAAAGTGTTCAGCAAACATTGACTTAATAAATAATGACCTATTCATTTGATTTCAAATTATTTCATAACCTACCTGTATATTATTTTCCGCTTCTGCAAAGAAAAAAATAAATTTAAAAAAATGAACAAAACAATCAGCCTAGCAACAAGATGAACAATGCACCAATAGATAACATTATTATTAACAGTGAATCTTTTGAGGTCATTGTCACTTGATAACTGAGACGCAAGATGGCGGCAGTTGCGTTTGAATGGCTGCGTCCGAAATAGCATAGGCCAGAGCCATAGGCCATAGAGATGGCTCTGGCATAGGCTACTCTCTTGAGTAGGTAGGCTACTAATTTCGAAAAGTAGCTAATTACTTAATGACTGCTAAAAAGTAGGCTACGTTCTATATAGTTAGAGTGTGTGTAGTATGAATGTTATCTGGATGTAGCCTACTACTACACTCGCCATGTTGTCATTATCATGTGACCTACGAGCGTCAGTTAGGTTAGCTCTCTTTTACTGTCTATGGTTACGCTTCACCGCCATTCACAAATCCTCTCCCGTGGCCTCATGGGATAGTAAAGTGTCCATCGCATGCACACTTCAGAATCTCGCTGGAAGAAGTAGGTCACCCGGGTCAACTTATCAACCTACCCTTTTATTAATACTTTAAACTCAGACTGATGCAAGGAGGATATACAGTCAGATGATTAAGTCAATTTTTATTTCTTAACAGCAGACAATCTAATCAATAAATGAAGAGTAAAAGTAATTCATTCATAATCAAGATTAAAAGTTTAATAAAAAAACATAAATGAACAATTAAAACCACTTCTAATATTTCTAAGTAAAATATAATTCAAACACTCTTGAGTATAATATTCTTGCCTAAAGGTAAGTTGTTTGAGAGTGAAAAGACAGGTTGTCAAAGGAGCAGGGTCTCGTCCAAGTTGAGACTGAGCATTACAGAAAATATTCTCCCTCTTATGCAGATGCTTATCAGAACAGGGCTAAGTTCCTATTTACTAAAACATTGAGCAGACACTGACGACAAATATATATCGTTCTTTTGTGGATTCACATCGTGGAGGGGGACCGTACACACATTGTCTGGTACCCCAAAGGTGTCAGAAAGTTGTTAATCTTAATACAATACAATACAGAACAATGGCACAACTTGTCCCTTCTGCAAGATGATCAGCTGAGATAATATTCGTTTATCACTTTATTCTGAGACATTCACGTATTTGTGGTTTGTCTATTGGAAACTTATAGACTATTGAGCTCATCTAAACACCAAGTACAAAAGTTCAACCTAAGTCAATCAGCTACATTTGAGGCATAAAGATTAATAAAAGAAAAACATACATTTCAAATTATAATAATGGTAAACACATTAAAATGATAGTAATGAGAAACACATCAACATGATAATAACGATTTCCTAAAATGTGATGATTACATTTGATTAAACGATATTTAAGATCTAAATGATGAAATGATAAAACATAAGTAAAGGATAAAACATAAGTAAGACATATACATTTTTCTTTTTTTCAGCTTCATCAGGACACGAGTGATAGAGAGACGTCAGTTAAATGGATGAGCGCTCTCACATACAGCATTGCCATGGATAACAGCAAGGGCCCTATTTTAACGATTTAAGCGCATGGTCTAAAGCGCATGGCGCAAGTGCACTTAGGGCGTGTCTCTTAATGAGTAATGGGTGTGTTTTGGGCATAACGTGCCAATCAGAGTCTCATCTCCCATTCCCTTTAAAAGCCAGTTGCGCTCGTGCCATGGCGGATTCGCTATTTACATGGCGGAATTTGATAGTAGGAAGACTGAACGCTTCTCCAGAAAAGGAAACTGACCTTCTACGGGACAAGCCAGATTCCACCATATCTTTATGTACACAATAATAATCTTTTACATTGTAATCCTTTTATTTTTTAATATTTGGCATGTTTGTGTGCTGCTGGGCATCCCTGTGTGTGTAATAAGCAGAGTTTACGCGCGTTGTGCACCCGCCTATAAGAGCAATATTACGAATGCGCCCTTAAATTAACAAAAAAAAAAAATACTGAGTCATTGACTTTAGAACAGGTTTCAGTTGGTCAATGGCGGACTTTATTTCAGTTGCCTCAAAATAGCAACACCCCAACAATGCGCCAGAACACACCTCAATTTCAGACCAGCACGCCCATGGGCGCACAGATGGGTGCAAATGCATTTGCTATTTAAACAACGTGGCGCAGGACGTGAAAATGATAACTGCGTCGGGCTGAAACTTTCAAAAAACACTTGTCACGCCGCATTGCGCCAGGTGTTAGCCTGGGAAAACCCAGACAACTTCCGGCAAATTTAGATTTGCTCTGAAAGTTAGTCTGGCAAAGAGCTCATTCAAGCCCATTTCCAATCCGTCGAAATCGAAGCACCAATCAGAAACGTTGGGGCGGGCTTTACACGATAACGACAGCGCTGGAATTTTTTTTAAGCAGATTTTGTAGCCTACATTACAAAGATGGATGCCGCCGTCGAACATCACTCGTTCGAATCAGCCATCGTGTCTGTTTTACGCGATTTGAACGTTTCCTTTTTGTTAAAAACCGAGCAAAGAACAACACTCGGAGATGTTTCTCCGCCGCTCTGCATACGTCATCTCATTCATCGCTCTGATTGGGTTTTAGGTCTATCCGCGACGTCCGTTGGTGACGCCCCTCTGGAAATGATTTGTCTATGACGCTTTGCCAGACCATAACTCAGTTACAACTGAGAATGGTCTGGTTTTAACCAGGCTAGCCAGGTGCATGATAGGGCCCCAAATATTAAGGAACATTAAACCACCAGATGGCGCTATCGACCAATACCCCGTAGTAATGGGCTACATTACTTCCATATCCACCTTAATGTTAAAGTCGGCATGAAAGTGAAGCTGCAATAGTAATAGAGGAACTTCAGATTCTGCAGAGCTTCCAGTCCATCCTTTACACTAGGAACCTATAAATCACTATTTTATATGACGTTGTTACAACAATAAAAAAGGCAATAATGCAGAGAGTCATCTTACTTACATTAAAAGATGGTGCTAACATTTATTGATATAAAGAAAACGTCATTATATGAGAAATGTGAAAGTAAGACAAAGGTGTAGCAGGTCAAATACACGACATACTTTAGACAAATTGTTCTTATACATTCACAAAAAAATGTATCTTATCATATCAGATGTACCAGACCAAATCCAGCAACAATTTGCAAATGTAATGTTGAAAATGTTTCGGCATGTTGTATTGAGTAAAGTGATACTTAAATCTGGACTAGTGCTAAAACCACTTGCCTGCAACACTTTAATTAATAACATCATGATAAACTTTAGACACTCTTCTGTATTCTATTCTATTATGCAGTCTGAGAAAACATGACACACTGAGCCAAATCACACACAACATTGTGTTAAAGGGATAGTTCACCCAAAAATTGTACTCATTTTGTACTTCATGTCATTCCAAACCTGTATGGCTTACCTTCTTCTGTGGAAAGAAATAAACTGGTCCAAAATGCAGCAGATACAGTTAAGAGTTCTTACTAGAACCAGGAAGTATGACCGTATTAGCCCGGTTCTATCAACACTGCATTTGCTCCCTTGCTAAAATCTTGCTAATTACTAACAAAGCACTAAATGGTTTAGCTCCCCAGTACTTGAGCATTATAGTCCTTCACGTCTAGTGCGATCTCAAAATTCTGGCAGGTTGATAATACCTAGAATATTAAAATCGACTGCAGGTAGTAGATCATTCTCCTATTTAGCACCCAAACTCTGGAATAGCCTTCCTAGCACTAATCGGAAGGCAGACACATTCTGTCAGTTTAAGTCTAGACTAAAAACACATCTCTTAAACCTGGCATACACATAACACTATCACATTTCTATAATTCACATCCGTTAAAGGAATGTTAGGCTGCATAAATTAGGTCAACCGGTCCGCAACCGGAAACACTTCCTATAACACGCAATGTACTTGTTAAATCGTTGAAGAAGAAGAATGGCATCTACGCTAATATTAGTCTCTCTGTCTATCCCATAGACTGTAAAATAAGATGGACGACCCCTCTTCACTCTCTTTTTCTATTGGTAAAAGAAGTGAAGCCGCCAAAGTCCTAATATGGCGCTGACATCTTGCGCAGATTTGGGACCGGATTCTGCGCAGTAGTGAACGCGGGACCGGTGCAGTAACGGTTAGTACAAAGTTTACTGTCTGAAATAAACAGTTATGGACATGTAGAAATTAAAGTTGAAGCTCCAATCTCCTGCCGACCATCCCCCAAACAGTTTGTTGGTGCCTCGGTGACTACTTCGTTTAGAGATCATGAAGTCACACTCACGTTTTTATAGCATCAAATAACGAACTAAGACCAAACTTATTTCAAAAAACGAACACTTAAACTTAAATCAGCGTGATAAAAACGACCTAAAATGACAGAAAACATATTTGGAAAGAAATTATTTGCAGTGTAATTTGATTGTTTAGTTTCCATCATGCCCCATTAGACTTCATGGGGAGGGTGGGGTTTATGACCTATACTGGAACCAACCACCTGGGGGCGAACGAGTAAAACAGTGTTTTTGACCCCATTAACTTTCATTGTATTTACAAAAACAGCTGAAATATTCTTTAAAATATTTTTAATACTTTTTTGTTCACACAGGTTCGGAATGTCATAAGGCTGAACTATCCCTTTAAAGTGTTTCTTACTGAATAGAATTAATAGGTTTGATAAATAACAAGATAAACGCAAGGACCAGCCTGCAGATATAAATATAGAGTGTGATTAATATTTAACATTAAAATTTGTTAACAAATAAACAACATTTTAAAGTAATAAAATACCCTCACTAAGACAAAATATGAACATCAGGCCAACAGAAATTTCATCAGGTAACTGTAAAAGGCCTCAGTATAAATCTTCAAAAGGTTTGGAGTAGTTGAACATCAGATAATCCATGTAGTAAAAGTCATATGTCCTTTGTCTCTCTGTCACATTTAGCTGTGCAAAATATCTCCTTGTGATTTCCGAAGATGTCCTTTCTGCATTAGGGTTCCTGTCTTTAAAACTAGGGAATGTTAAATTGCTAGGAGCACCAATACTTCTCAAAAGGAAATTGGCTTCTTCCTCCAGAGTCTCAAATTTCCCAATGAAGTCATAGTCCAGCAGGCAGGGGCTGCAGAGATGTCCAACGGGCTCCCAGTGGATGTCCATGCCAACGGGCCGATGCACGTCTAACAAATACTGGATGAACTCCTTGAAGGTCACACCCGCCCCTGTGCGCAAGGCATACTGCGTCGCATTGCTGCGGTATCTTGAGATGATGGGCTTCCCGAACACTGGATGGTAGTACGAGTTTGGACTCTCGAACTTGTCCCGAAAAGCAGACACTAGCCTTTCGAAAGGTTCCCTCAGGAACAGGACTTTGGTGTAGGTCTTCAGACGCCGGATGATGCCCTTTTGATTGAATGAGTCTAAACGTTTAAGGTGATTCCCATAATGCACCTCGTCATGTTTGATCTCTCCAGTGGATGAAGCGAGTCCTTGAAGCACCATGAGCACCCTCTTCGAGTTGGAGCAGCCCACCTTTGGCACCTCACAGTAGAGGAGTTTGTGCTTGTCTTCCACATAGATACGGGACACGTGCATGCGGGTTATAGTCTGTTTAGCGGTTCCGCTTGTGTATTTGGCACAGACCTCCCTCATAAGCCTCAGACGGGAGCTCTGCACCCGAGTCATTCGCTCGGGACTGTCCCTGATCTGGCCAGGGGGGTCAGCGTTGAGCTGCTGGACAAGTGGGCTGCTCTTAAGGAGGAGTTTGCGGTGGCTCTTTGTGACATGGGAAGCAGTAATGTCTCTGGGATTGATTACAGAAGAACGCTGGACCCCTGGGAAGACTGGAAGTTGGACTGGTTGCACAGGTCTAGGAAAGTTGTCTTCTGTTGGATCAGACTGTCTGTCATTGTCAAGACAATAATGACACTGTTCCTGAAAGTTAGAGAATAAGAGTCCTGTCAGTAACAATAGTTGTGTTTCTTCAAAGTATATATATATATATATATATATAATTTTTTTTTTTTTTTTTTTAAAGACTGTATTTGGAGATAATATAATATTAATGAAATAAAAGGCCAAATAAAAACTGTTTAATTTCATGACTGTTTCTTAACACACTTAAGTACACTTTTAAAATTACACTTTGCAATAATGTCAGATTAAAATATTTACTCTAAAAGACGTTTTAAATAATTATGTTTGTTGTGTTTCAAAGAAGCACACTTATTTTGATGAGTTGACTCACAAACTAAAGCACATTAAAAGTACTTAATTATATTATATTATAAATTATTTTAACTGTAGTGTGTTATTCAATATTACATTTAAAGTTAATATATTTTGTACTAAATTGCAACTTCCTAATTACAAATGTGTAAATACATGATACAAAAGTTTTAATTGAAATAACATTATAGTATATATTTGCCATAGATGCTTGTCAGTACAATGAAATTCCATATAGAGATATACTCAAGTCCTACTTAAGAGGCTCAAAAATAAACTCTTAAGGTCAGCTAATTGCATTTAAAACATACAATTTAAACTATAAAACATTTTCATATAATTGCAATTAACATACAAAAAAATTACATAAGTTCACACAAGTATATTCTTTTAACCCTTAAAGACCTAAACGGCCGCCGGCGGCATAAAAATAACTGTTGTTCTTAAATGTTTAATAACTTTTGAACCACTAATTCAATTTGTATGCTTTAAAAAGTCCCAAAAAAGAGGAGATTGCCGGCTTTATTTTGGTATCGGGTTCATCGCGATTGGACATTCAGATGCTCCGTAGTGAATGTGATTGCATCATCAAGTTTTGATCAGCATTGATTCGTCAAAGAAACCCACGTGATTTGTTCCTCTGAGCCAAACGAGCAGTTTGTTGATGCTTAGTCCCACCCCCAAGCCCAGATCGGTTGAAACTACATAAATATATATAAAGTCACATTTGCTTCAGTGCTCTATTACAATGTTTCTATTTATTTTTCTTCCTGAACTTTTTTGGACACATCTACATTGTAAATAACACCAGATTTTCACTGAAAATCGCCTATAATAATGTTATAATAAATGGCTATAACTTGCTTAGGGATTGTTACATGTAGTAAAAATTTCATCTGGAAATCTAGAATATCCAAGTACAACTTTCTAAAGGAAAAAATCCAAACTTCAGGAGGATTTGTTTGAGCTGAGTAAAAAAAAAAAAAAAGAAATCTGCTGCCTTTTTTCTTAAATCTGGTAAATTTATCCATTCTAAGACAAAATAAATGTAAAATTGGTCATTTAAATGAGCTAGATTGAAACATCAAGTTCTCTTGTTTAAAATGATATATGGTACTTGATGCTGACTGCTATAATGGGTTAGAAAAACAAAGAAAAGAGCAGGCGAGTCATGTGCTCCAAAAATGGTCTAGGTCTTTAAGGGTTAAAGTATTGAAAACTTCCGTGATAAGTACTCTTTTTAAAAGTAGGCTATGCTCATTTTTATTTATTTGTTTGTTTTGGTTTTGTTTTGGTTTTCCACAAGGGCATTTATCAGGGTTGATTTTTACCCAAACCTTTATTTATTTTTTTGTTATATGATGTTCCTATTAAAACGATAAAAAAAAAAAAAAAATTGTTTTGCCCACCCAGACCTTTAATCTTAAACTATGAAAAGCCATGATAAAGCTGTCACACAATTGTTTTCCAAATGTTTAAAAATATTATATTTAGGTTTAGGATACATAAATACAAGCTATGAAGTTATTCTAAGTAAGGAAAAGGAGTATTGCCATTTTATTCCGAAAAAATGTATATAAAAAAAACGTCATGGCACTGGCTTTCAGTCTGAATTCTCAGCTGGATATTGTTAGTAGACAAATTAAACAAGCAAATTAAATTGAATAAACTACACTGTAAAAAATTATATCAACAAGTTATGGCAACATGTGTTTTTACATTGCTTTAACTCAACTAAATAAGTTAAGTAATTTTCTACTTTTTTATGTTATACAAGATTTAACACATTTTTTAAAGTCAGTTTAATTTAACATAAGTTGAAATGACTTAAACATCCAAGTTGATTGTACTTAAAAAAAATTTAAGGCAGCAACTTTAAGTGTATTGAGAGTGTGAAGTGTATTTTAGGAAAGTAATAATCAAAAATTCACATGGCTAAAAGACAAACTACAGGTCAAATTTTAAAATTTCATGGGCTCAATAAGCATTTACTAGAGAGGGTTGTGGTTTTAAAGTCTTGTCTTTTCAATGGCAACCACCAAGTGGTGGTAGCGCACAATAATTCCAGCAGCCGTACAGCGCATGATGTGAAGCAGGCACTTGTGGACATTATTACCTTCCTTATGGCCTGCACTTGGGAGAATGTGACCTTTGCACCTGAGGGAAAAGAAAAAGAGGGAACGTTAGGATGACATTTCGGGCTTATCCATTTTTACAATCCACGTACCATGAAAGTGAACTTTTGGGTTCAGGAATTTCCATTGAGCTGCTTAGATTCAAAGTGCAACCAACGAGAAGTTATACTGAAACCGCAGTTATTCCACCCGAATGTGCTGAAATAAAGGAGCATATGGCTCAGTGAAGTGGTGTCCTTGCTTGAGATTTTTCATAGACGAAGTGAAGAGAAAGGGCGGACGGACAGAGGGAGGTTGACTCCTGTGGCCGACTGCTAATGTTTATGTGCTATTGCTTGCAGCAGCTCCAGATGGTCTCCCAGCAGCCTGACAAACATCATCTTGACATCAAAGGTTATTGTGTACGAACAGAGGTGTGTGTCGAAAGATATTCCTTAGTATTCACCATGGGGAAAGTTTGCAGGCGAAGTGTATGGGGAATGAGATTAAAAGAGGGCTTGAGTCATCCTGAATCAGACTTTGCAGCTCTGGCAGAGATGTCTTAATGCTTTGACATTGACCTATGGACGGGCAGAGACTAGCATCGATTAGATGCCAAAGCCATGACACTTTTCGTTGATAGATTCATTGCAGGCGGTGCCCTGACTTGGGTTTGAGAGCTACAGCAGGTTATTTACAGGCCAGGAGAAGGAGAAGACGCTTTTACTGTACTGTAATCTGTTTATACATTAAATCTAAACTGACTCTATTTGCTGTCTTACTGTGAACGATTCAATGGTGCATATTATTCCAAAGAATAATTGTCCTTGTAATCTAATGTCCGTCTAGCACGTTTACATAGAAAAACTTTTAAAAAGTGTTCATGACACTTCAGGTCTCTACACTGCAACTAAATTGATCACAAATTAGTCAGATGACCAAAACAATAAACTCGTCGATAACCGGTGTGGTTTGAATCACTATTATTGAGTTCACCACAGCCTGAATGAACAGCGAGCGAGTGATTTTTCTGTTAGTCACAATAGTCTGTTTATTGACTATTTACAACACAATTAAAAAAATCAATCAGTTCCTGATGGATAAAATCCTGACCTAAATTTTTCTTGTTTAATATTCTGCCTCTTTAGTTTTTGACTGATTCATCAAAAGTATAACAATGTTAATAAAATAGTGTATAGAATGATTACAAATAAACATATAGAGTCACAAAGTTCTGGAAAACAATAGTTCATTGCACTGCTGAAAAATACATTTAATCTGATTTGAAAGGTATTTTGTCATGAGGACACTGTATAGGTTGTAATTTCCCATAGATGAGCGAGGGTATGAATTTCAAAGAGAATCTGCAAAATATTCATGGTTTTCTTTTATTCATAAATTCACAAAATCCTGGTGAGCCTGTTTTATCCTGCACAACTTGTTTCATAATGCATTATTTCACTTAATCTGGCCGCAATGCTGTGTGCGAATGTATACCAGGATAAGGATCAACGCATACTGTATACCATTACCGACATATTTGTGTCACAAAAATATGCCATTAATAAAGGAAGGGCCCATCCATGTCTGTAATTGAGAAACGTGTTATTTATCTATTTATGCAGTTTTATTTTTTGCCTGTCAAAGTAAATTTTCCACACTGCAAGATAAACAAAATATTATCGAAGTTTATATGGTGAATCAACCATGTATAAGCCCATGTAAATGATTTAATTTAGTCATGAATTATTAATTGAACCATATTTCAAAAAAATGACGTGGGTCGGGGAAAGTTATAATAATAGTAAGTGATAGTGAGCAATTACCATTACAAATGATATTAAAAACACTATTACAAAACGTTGAATAATGTTTCACTATATTCAAATATTCTGAAAATTAAACCATTTCCTGGCTGGTTCATAAAAATGGAAATAATGAGACATTGGAATTATATTTTTTTCTCATTTATGTTAATATTTGTATTTAAAATGTAAATTGTATAAATAATACCCAATGACTGTTTTTTTTTGTTGCAAAGTCTTATTTATATGGCATTATTTAATAGATATATATCGAATTTCTGTTGATCTTATTTAACTTGACTCCATTATGTCTTTTTTTACAGCAGTGAACACAAAAATGCATTCCGCAAGAACCGGCATTTACTCTTCCTCTGAAACTCTTCGTTCATGACACTTCAGGTCTCTACACTGCAATGTAATTGGTCACAAATTAGTCACATGACCTAAAATATAAACTCGTTTATAACCCGGTGTTTCCTACACAAAACAACGTCCTATTTGCAAACAAATGACTTTTTATGAACCTATTCTTTCTGTAATGAGTCAGTCAAATGTATTTAGTGGTACTGCTTAATTATAACTGAACTTGCTACAATTTAGAGGTGTTAAAGTTCTATTGTAAAGTTCTAAAAATGAATATCAAGCGGCACAGAATGAAAGGATAAGATGAAAAGATAGTATGCGCTCGCACGGATGCACAGCCTTGTGCGTTGACCCGACTGCATGCGATTCTCTCACGCTCTATGGGTCTGCAAGATCTCTCACTTGAGTGGGAGGAGGTGAGACAGGGAGGAAAGGAGAAGGCAGGAGGGATTGTGTGAAAGATAACAGACGATCCCTGTAAACAGCTAATGTCTTTGCTGTGCGTCTCCCTCCTGCCTGCACCGGCAGATCACTCAGTTCTATTAGATCAGAGATGGCCAACCTAAACGACATGAGGTGAAGCAGAAGAGCGACGCTGCTGCCCGGTAGGAGCTGGCGGTAATGGAGCACTTGCAGACAGCCTCGCTCCTGATGACTTCACAGCTTATGAATAACTCAAATCCCGGGAAGAGAGCAGGAACATGGAGCAAGGGACTCTCACTGGTCCCACCACCATCTGATCTTCTAGAATGCTCTAGTACCCGCCAAGCCCTAAAGTTACATTTTAATAAAAGAAGCTGAAAAAGACACTGTCGAAGGGCATTCTAACACATTCCTTGTAATATAAACATAAAAGGACTTTTTGGAAGTAATTGTCATGGCAGTGTTGGCAAGGAAGAGGAGATAAGGATCTATATGCAGCTACTTTATTAACAAAAAGACATAATCCAGGTAGTGAGAAACGTGATCAATTCACACACATGGCAAAGACAATACTCAACACTAAACAGAGAGAAATAATCTCAATGAATACACAAGATAATGAGGAACTAAACAAGACACAGGTGATAACGATGAACATGGAAGGGAACAAAGGAAACAGGAAAACAAGAGCCTACAAAGTCCAAGATCACATAAAAGTCTTGAAACTGCAACAAAAACTGAGTTGTACTCTTTCAAGAAAAATCTAGAAATGTTTGTCTATTTAGAATAATATTGCACTTTCTTGTCACTTAAAATGTTGTTTACGGTGATTAAAATTAGACGTTAGAGTTAAATTGATTAAAATGAATGAATACAACACAATTTTAATGATCTTTTTAAGCAAAACTATGACTAATTATTAGTACAATTATTATTGTATTAATGAATATTTCGAATTTATTATGTGCTTTTGTCATTTTTATAAGAATATTTAGCTTTATTTTGATTTCAGATTTTGTTTTATTCATTTTAGTACTTCAACTTATTTGGTTGTTCAGTTAATTGTTTTCCATCTACTATTTGTAACTTATTTCACCTTGCATCTCAATTCAATTAATGAAAACTACTTTTTAGTTAAAAATAACAACTGTGCAAAACACGCCAAGTTTGACAAAATGTAACATAATTAGTTACTCTTACAGGAGAAGTGCAATAGTATAACATTACTTTTAAAAGGTAACATTTCCCAACACTAGCAGGAGATAACCGTCATATGAAATATCATACCCTCTTGTTGGGTTCTTTTATGCCACATGCTATTGATATGGATTAAGATACTCGTTCACTAATGCTTGAGTGCAGTTGTATACATATAAAGTTATATAACAGACGTCTGAAGATGCAGAGAAGAGCAAAAGCAAGCAGAGTGCCTGTCACATCTAATGCAGGAGCTCTTTGTTTACCGCGGTGCAGCTTTCCACAAAATCAAATCAATATGTCATAAACACGGCGACAGTCTCCGGCACGATGAGATCCTACTGATTTGACAGAAACAGAGAAGCAAGGTTTACACTCGAATAGTTAGTATCTATAACTAAAAAGTCAACAAAATAAAACCCAATAAAATGTCACCATTACTGATATTGTATCATTACATAACATACTTTCTAGCAACATGTTTAACATTTGGAAGGCAGCGAGGTATCATGTGTCGAACCACCGAGACCAATAATGAGGCTAAATTTGGTGGTAAAATACGCAGCTGTCAACATCTTCATTCACACACTGTGTGAGATGTTGTGACTGACTATAATAATGGTTTCCTGATATTAGTCCTCTTCATTAGACTGAATGCACTGTGAAAAACTCCCATCATTTTCACACAACTTATTTGTATGCCTGTCTAACCTTGTTAGATTCCAGCAACAACTAAATCAGGAAGACTTAGTCTATTGCCATAAATGATAGCAAATAAGTCAATTGGTGCATTAGAGATGAGTTAAATTCATTTGAAATATAAACTCAACTTGAGGGCATATGGGATGCTCAGTTTCAACGGCCTATAAGCAAAGATGCAGCAAGAAAAGCTTATCAGGTATCAAATCAAGATGTTTATAAGAATGAAAAAAGTTGAGATGTATTTGCCAGACAGACAGTGGGCGTATAAGTGTGTATTTGTATGTGTGTTTCTTTCAAATAGCTTTAGAATTTCACCTTGGTTTGGAAGTATTTGTTGCCTGGCTGCAGGAATATGAATTTAAAAGTTAGTAATAACATATAAAAATGTATCACCTTTAATGTCGAAGGTTAAATACAAGTTATGTTCTCTATGCCAGACTTTATTTTTTAATAGTCCCTGACCAAAAATTGTGTGTTCGTTAATACACTTACAATCAAAATGTTTGATTAAAAATACAGAAAAGAACAGTAATATTGTGAAATATCATTACAA